GGTCATTGTATTGTTCATAGAACTTGCAAAGAAAATTAATGGAAACAAGAGTCTTTCTTTTTTTTTTTTTTTTTGTTTCATCAACTTGTTTGTCATTAATATGCCTCGTTTCAGATATTGTTAATTCGTACGCGTTGATGCTCTTGCGTATCGAATACATTGGAAGACATAATCCCCAAAATCAGAGGATATAGGTATTTTGCTACATAGTTAAAGGAAGTTGATAGAAAAGTTGCAAAATATTTAGCAAACAATCAACAAGAGAAACAAATAAAATAAATCATTATGCATTTCAATTTTTATTTACAATAACATTCAAGGTACTGGACAGAAAGCAATTTTGCTGACAGAAGTTTTCAATATTTAATCCCTATACTGACATTCTGTATTTGTTGGAGTGAATTGCGACACTAAGGAACTAAAAAGAAGCCCCGCATTAATTCGGACAAAGTTTATCGCAGTATTTGAAATGAGCTTTGTTTAGAAGTCATTTGTTTTAATACGTATAGGAACTGATGCAAGTTATGACCCAGTGCAACTTCCCTTTGATTTACACTTTCTAGATATTGTTTTAGTACGTTCATCGTATTCACTGATGTCGACATTTTAAGAATCCCTTGATTTTCAAACATTTCCAGGTTGAATGAAGTCATTGGCGAGTTTATTAAACATGGATTTCCTTGTAAAGTCGTTTTTATTATTTACTTTGCCGGATTTTTGATCATTTACTTTGCCGGTCATTTAGTAATCTTTATGGGTGAAGGTTCAGTGTTCAATAGAGGAATAGTGCGAAGTATGCGCACACAGCGAAATCCTTTACAACAAAAACCCTCGACGAAACCCACAGAAGGTATCTGGGGCGGGGACGGCCTGGGGTCTGACAGCACTATCAGCGGCTCCCGGTGTTGGCTCCTGGCTTGTGTGAGGAACGGCGTCAACTTCAGTACTCTTGATTTCAGCTTCATTTCTGGCTCTTCGTTCTTCATGAGAGAAAAAAATATTTAGGAACAGAAAGATATACATGGACGTGTATTTTTTTAAATAATTATCAGTAATTGCAAGGATGGGTAGAGAAGACGGGCCAAATCTTACAAAAAGATCAAAATAAATGAGAAAGGAGACTGCATGAAGATCATTTTCAAATTAAAATCCAACCAGATAATGCAAATACCTTGTATTTTAGATGACACCCAGTTGTATGTATACTGTACAGACAAGTAAACCAAATGCATCGTGACGATCATGGTGATTTTTTGTTAAAATGTTGGCAACAATAGAAACACAATCGTCTTCTTATTGTGACGTAAGAACTTTCATCAGATTGTTACGTTGGGTAATTGTGATGTCATAATAAAGAGACCTTTAATATGCAACCATCATGCATTTGGTTTCCGTATCCGCTAAATGACCCGCCGATCACTCATAGTTACCCACTTCACTTCTTGATAATACTAGTATCTTTCTCGTCAAAAGTAGAACCTTTGCAATAAAAAAAACTACGATCCTTTTTCAAAATGTTTTCAAGGACCACTAAACTAGAAGAGATGGAACTTGTGTTGAAACTTTTAGATACATGTACAACCTGTATAATTTAATGTATAATTCTAAATTTTTGAACCATGAACCCCTTGGTCAGGCTTTAGCCACAATTAGGGATCAAATAATAGTACATAAGAAAATAACTTTCAAGTCTTTTTCTCAAGAACCACCGCACCAGTAAAAATAGCTTTGGGGAGAAAGGGTGATCGAAAAATTTTGCATGCAATTTTATAAGATATTCTTTTTATTTTCCAAAATAGGAGATAAAAGTTTTGCATCGGAGTGAGTGCGGAAGATTTTTTTATTTTTTATTTTTGAAAGAAACACAATAGAAGCATTCATTTTTAATACAGCTTAATGTGCAATTATTGCTTTAATTCTTATCTTAAATTATGAACCATGGGTTACTGTTTATGAAATGTAAATCAATATTGATAAAAGTCAAATTAAAAATAGCATTTTACAAAATGCCTGACTATTGGGAAAGAATTTTTGTTACTATAAATACAAGGAAATGTATTGATGCTGAAACATTCCCATGGTCTGCAGATTTTGAGACTCTTAAGACACATGATGGGGTCATAATATGGGTGAACATTTTAGTCAGTTAACAAATCTTTTGAAGAATAGCAGCCATAGAATCAGGTGAGCATTGTGATCCATTGGCCCTACTATCGTATCTCGTACAAACAAGGTCAAAAGACCATACCTGACAGTTAAATAGGACAATATTTAGAACTGAACAAGGGTCTTCAAAATCATAGCGGCTATTTAGGAAAAAAGATATGAAAAACATCAAGAACCCGGGGCAACATTTGCCATGGAAGAGTAAGCACCCCTTAATTTCTCATCCGCCTTGTGCTCCTTGTCATGATCAGCAAAATGGAAAACCATAGTTTTCAGTGTGAAAATAAAAGCCTAACAATTATGTATGGCACGCCAAATTCACAAAAATGAGCTAAACCTAGTTTCACAATTGATAAACTAGGTTTATCGACTGTAAACTATAGTTTACAAATCGTAAACTATAGTTAACGATTCGTTAAGTATAGTTTTCATCTGTAAAACTATATTTAACGAATGTTAACTATAGTTTACGAATGATAATCTAAGTTTATCTGTCTGTAATTAAACGTTAACAATAGATTTTGTTGATAAACATAGATTCACGTTTGTAAACTATAGTTTACAATCGTACACTATAGTTAAGAGTTGTTCATCATAGTTTCACAAATTGTGAAACTATATTTATCAGATCGTTAACTATAGCTAACGGTTTGTAAACTATAGTTTACAAATCGTGAAACTGTATTTATCAGATAATCTATGTTTTGCAATCGCAAATGACTGTTTTCGGTGTTAAGTATAGTTTACGGCTGTGAAACATAGATTATCGCGTTAACTATGGTTTACAGATGTAAAATATAGATATGGCACGCCAAATTCACAAAAATGAGCAAATCATAGTTTCACAATCGATAAACTAGGTTTATCAGTTGTAAACTATAGTTTACGGACTGTAAACTATAGTTAACAACGTTAATCTATATTTTACATCTGCAATCTAGTTTATCTAATTTGATACTAGGTTTATCTCATTTTTGTGAATTTGGCGTGCCATATATTGATTAACGTTGTTAACTATAGTTTACAGTCCGTAAACTATAGTTTACAACCGATAAACCTAGTTTATCGACTGTGAAACTTTGGTTATCTCATTTTTGTGAATTTGGCGTGCCATAATTGTGAAAAACGTCAGTCATCATTCAACTTAATGGTAGATTGTTTTTGACAACAAGGTCATTGTATTGTTCATAGAACTTGCAAAGAAAATTAGTGTAAACAAGAGTCTTTATTATTTTTGTTTGTTTCATCAACTTGTTTGTCATTAATATGCCTCGTTTCAGATATTGTTAATTCGTACGCGTTAATGCTCTTTCGTATCGAATCCATTGGAAGACATAATCCCCAAAATCAGAGGATATACCGGTAGATATTCTGCTACATAGTTAAGGGAAGTTGATAGAAAAGTTGAAAAATATTTAGCAAACAATAGACAAGAGAAACAAATAAACTAAATCATCATGCATTTCAATTTTTATTTACAATAACATTCAAAGAACTGGTCGGAAAGTTCAATTTTGCTGCCAAAGTCTTCAACATTTAATCTATACTGACATTCTGTATTTGTTGGAGTGCATTGCGACACTAAGGAACTATAAAGAAACCCCGCATTAATTCGGACAAATTTTATCGCAGGATTTGAAATGAACGTTGTTAAGAAGTCATTTGTTTTAATATGCATAGGAACTGATGCATGTTATGATCCAGTGCAACTTTCCTTTGCTTTACACTTCCTAGATATTAGTTTAGTACGTTCATCGTATTCACTGATGAATGTCCACATTTTACGAATTCCTCGATTTTCAATCATTTCCAAGTTGAGTGAAGTCATTGCCGAGTTTATTGAACATGGATCTCCTTGTAAAGTCATTTTAATCATTTACTTTGCCGGACAATTAAAAAGTTTTTATGGGTGAAGGTTCAGTGTTCAATAGAGGAATGGGCGAAGTATGCGCACACAGCCAAAATCCTTTACAACAAAAACCCTCGACGAAACCCACAGAAGGTGTCTGGGGCGGGGGCGGCCTGGGGTCTGACAGCACTATATCAGCGGCTCCCGGTGTTGGCTCCTGGCTTGTCTGAGGAATGGTGTCAACTTCAGTTCTCTTGATTTCAGCTTCCTTCCTGACTCTTCGTTCTTCATGAGAGAAAAAAAATATTTAGAAACAGAAAGATATACGTGTACGTGTATTTTTTTAAAATAATCATCAGTAATTGCAAGGATGGGTAGGATAAGCGGGCCAAATCTTACAAACAGATCAAAATACTAGTAAGAGAAAGGAGACTGCATGATCATTTTGATACATTAAGGCAAATACCTTGTATTTTAGATGACACCCAGTTGTATGTATACTGTACAGACAAGTAAACCAAATGCATCGTGACGATCATGGTGATTTTTGTGAAAATGTTGACAACAATAGAAACACACTCGTCTTCTTATTGTGACGTCAGAACTTTCATCAGACTTGTTACGTTGGGTAATTGTGACGTCATAATAGAAAGCATCCTGCATTTGGTTTCCTTATCCGCTATGACCGATATCTTATTCCTATGGTTCTAGTAAAGAGAACTTCCATCATTTCTTTATAAACCTTCCTGGCAGAAAGAAATCCTCTTAGCATAATTTAATTTGAATGTCCTTGGAGTTTAATTTCTTGTAGAAAATATTTATCTTGAAATGTACTATACAGTTCAAAATATAAACTTTGATCATGTAAACTTTATTATTGCTTCAATGAAGATACACAAATGATAATCCTCTGCTTCTGATGGTTTGTCTCAAGTTTTTATCTCCATCAAAGTTTCACAAGACAGAACAGAAAAAAAATCAATCATACAATACTTCTCATTTATTGATATTATTTTGATTTGTATAAACTGAACACTAATAGACAAAAAGTTTACACAATGGCATATATCAGGATAGATACTGATAATACATAAATACATAAGTCTGTAAATCACAAGCCCATACAAAACATTGAAATTTAATGAATAGTCTACGAAAAAAGTTTAATCACAAATTGTCTGCCATTTGTGCGAAAAAATATTGCAAATCAACCAATTATTTAAGGCAAGCACCTGCTGTATTTTGACTAGATGTGAAATTGTGCACATGTCCCTTGATATTTCAAGGACACTTCAATTCTATCTCAGTGTAAAATTTTTGCACTCAAAGACATGATTGAAACTTACAACAACCAAGCAAAAATCCAAATTAAATTTTTTTTAAGAAATCATGAATGTTTGTTGGGGGGATGAATGTGGATTTTTTGGGTGATCCTTACCCATGAATTTACATCCAATATACTATAGCTGTCATTGTATCAGGTGACTGAATCCTACATATATACAAGATACTCATGAAATTACTTCCTGTTTGGTTATCTAAGAAATTTGAATCCAAACCCACCAAAATTAAAATTATTCCAAAGTATTTAAATGGAAATGTTATTCATTCCTTAGAAAAACAAAATGATTGTCCTATGAATATGAGAAGGATTTAATTAATTTAAACATCTTTCACTCCAAATAAATAAAATTTTCCCTATCAAAATATAGAGTGTTTGTTATCAAAATCATATATATTGCTAATACTTTTTGTATCCATTTACTGTTCATGCAATTTTAAGTATACCAGCCAAATTGAATAGGATTAACATTAGGTTAGCTTTTTAGTTTATTAATTGCCCACACTGGAAACAGTTTGACTAGCATGTACATATTGCACAGGGTTCTCAATTTCAAAAGTATATATTTAAGCAATCCATGAATTACAATGTATAGGATATATGGAGGTTGCCTTGATAAACAAAGTTATAACATATACAGTATACACACAGAAAATATCAAAGCCTGAGTGGAGATAGGATTTCTCATAAAACATTAAAACACTGCATTTCAAGTCAAGAAAAAAATATACAATCTCAATCTTTCTTTAAAAGATAAATAAAATCATAATCTCTTGAGGTCTGATTGTAACGTGATGTCCTTAAAAAACAAACATAAAATACCTAAATTTACTGAATTACCTAAATCATTGTCAAGGAAATTTGAAAGTAAATAAGTGATTAATTAAGTTCAGGATTCTGCAAGACCATGATTTATGGTGTAAAATACAAGTACATAAATAACAAATAAGCCCACAAATTAAAACATAATACACTGTATAGATATCCACAGTAGCATTTTGAGTATTATGACATGTATTATATGGTTTTGTAGATTTACTTTCTGTAATGTATATACGGTATACATAGTTATACATATACATTTGTACTTCAAAAAATAATAGCATCACAGATTAACAGTTCATAATATCAAAGCAATTTACAATAGCCAGACCCAAAAAACTCGAAAGATGATTTTATAATATTTGTCCATATTGAAAAAAAAAAAACTTTACACCAAATACAGGGCTCCACAAAACAAGAGAATAAAGTATTCTTGTGAGGGCCAACAATCAGGTCTTGTGTTAAATCTAAAACCTTGGGTCTGTATAAAGTTGTGACTGTTGCCACACGTATATTGCCTTGTCGTGGTCAGTCCTATACTGGACATTTATTTGTGGCTGTCTGCCGCATCACAGTTTATTTTTTCTGTGGCGAGTGACGACGAGAACTGTGTACCTCCTGGAGTCTTTTCACAATCACCAAAATGACAAAAATCGGCAAGAGAAAGGGCAGCATGAGATATGACTTGGGATCACCTGAAAATATACACACAAACTATAAACTGGTGATTAAGAAAGCACAAATCAATGACTCATGGCAGAGGTAAATCTGCTGTGGCCAAGGGCTAAACACATCAAATTATACTTATCTCCGTGTAAGATTATCTCAAAATGGCTTGTAACATTATAAAGTCTGCCCTAACAAATGTGTCAGAACTTTACATCTTATCCTATGTTATATATCTTGAGTTGTTGTGGTGCTTTATTATATTCCCAACCAAATTTTTTTCAATGTTCTGAACCCAATTTTTTTCAATGCAGTTTTGAATTGCAGTAATTTCAGAGTTATGATAATATGTGCATGATGTGTCACCAAAATTATGATAACTGAAATTCTTTACTCTCAGCAATGCATGAAAATTGTTTGATAATGCTAAGCAGCTATATGTATACTGAAAGAGACCATAATTGGGGATAAATTATCTCTGTCTCCCATCATCTCTGCATATCTAACACTGTGCACGTAATCAGGCAGTGCATGCACATACCAACCAAAAGTACATGTACGCACTTTTTTAAAGAGATTAACCATTTCTTGTCTTTTTCACAGTTTAATAGAAGAAAAAAACTTACTCAGATCCATGTTATTCAGGGCTGGCAGATTTGGCAAAAATGAATTCCTAGCCACCACAATTTTGTGTTTTTCAGAGTCCATTGATGTATCATTGGAAACCTTTTCTTCCAAGTCTTTCATCACTGTGACAGGAATAATATCACCATTGTCATCTTCCAACTTATTATTACACTGTTTTTTCAATTCAGTGTCTTTTTCACAATGCAGAATTGTATTATTTTCATTTGGCAAGAGTTCTTCATTTTTGTTCTCATCCAATGAACTTGACTGGGTCTTGGCTCTGAACATTATGGCAAACTTTCTTCTCTCTGCTTCTTGCATTGCATGAGTTCGAATCCGATTCATTCTTTCCTCCATTTTCTCAAGACGACGGTTTTGTTCATTTTGTAATTTCGTTAATGCTGGATGATCATCCACATTGAGTTTTTCATAACTGAAAGCTTCCGAAACTCTATCCAAAGAACCTGGATAGATGTTGAGATTTCGATTCAAGGACATGGATTTTTCCCACTGCACCTCGTTTCTAGCTGAGTTTCTACCCAGTCTTTCTATGTCTGCTGACATACGATTTAATCCTTTCTGTCCTTGTTTGATTCTGTAACTTTCTAATTCTTGCATGGAGAGTCGATTCATCTTCTTCTTGTGATACAGTACCTCGGGGTTGTGACATTCCAGTGCACTGATTACATATTCCGTGTAATCCTCCTTCACATTTTTTAACTTTTTCTCTTTTCTGACTCTTGAGTTTACATGCCCCATTTTAAAATCTGAAAAACAGAAGAAGAAAAATCACATCATAAATCAATTAACACAAGGGATGTACTCTGAAACCCCTTCACTATCCTCTGCTGACCCTTAACACACTAATCAGTACAAATTAAGATTAAATAGACACCTCATTCCAACTCAAAATGGTTTTTTCCTACTACCATTAAAATTTCCTCATTTGAATCACTTTACAATGCTAGCTCCTTGCCAAGATGCATCATTTAATGGCTTCAATATCTCCAAGAGCCAAGAATAATATGAAGATACTAGGAATAAACAGACTGTGGAACTTCAGGCTTCACCCACACAGATAAACATTCCATCTTCTGTTTGATTCATACTTTAAAAATCCACCTTACCACAAACTTCTTTGACTGAGGATGATTGAAGCAGGGAGCAGGAGACCTGAATGAACACTTTGTACCGGTACACACAACGTTACAACTATGTAGCTACAGTGCTCTGGCAATTTTATATATCAATGTGTAATTTATATCACCATATAATTCATATCAGGACTGGCACATCAAGATACTGAAAATTACATGTCATTTTTATCCATTTTATGAGAAATATTGATTTTTTTGGGGGACAAGTCTTGATTACGATTATTTTTTAAAAATCTGGTTAAAACTGTTTAGCATTATAGTAGTTTCAAATATTAAGCTTTGTAAGTTTGTTAGAATTTTTACTTAATTTTAAAAAGATGACCAGCTTCCTTTCATTATCTGGACAGAGCTAAGTTCAAGTGATCCTTTTCAAGATATATAGAGAGAGAGAGAGAAAATGAGAGAGAGAGAGAGAATAGACTGACCTGTCCAGGATGATTTACCACTGAAATGATGACAAAGCAGATCAAAATATCCCACAGCCCGTCCACTGTGGACCAGGTACCATATATTGATCTACGATGGCAACAGATTTTATAAAGTCGTTATTATTCAAATCTGGGCGTTTGAGGGAGTTGTGGTCTATTTATAATTGTGCAGACACATTACTCTGCAGTAATTCTGTGAATGATTTCTGTCTTTCACCTGAAAATCGTGATTTATCACAATGGGAGGATACCATTGTCAATCATGCATTAAATATTTTTAAAATTCTTTATCTGAATATGAGACTGAATTTAACTTTACTAACAAGTAACTTTACTAATAAGTATATTAAATCATCAATATTTCAGATCAATTTATTAAGCCTATTAATTTCCTTTCATGTGTTACACTTGTAGTAAATTGATCCAATACTTCATTGTATACTTTGTGTACTTCTCTACCCCATGACACACTAGGCACTCATTAACCCATATCTTTTCTTCAAACACAGTATATGCTTTGTCATTTCTAAGGATTTTAGAAAGAAAACTTCTCCAGAAATACTGGCAAAAGATCAAGTTTTAACATCTTATACTGCAAGGGTACAAAGTGACAAACATCATCGTTCAATGGCAAGTCACAGTTACGCACAATTACATAAATCATTTTCCACTTACATAGAAATAAACAATGCAAAATGAGAGCAAATAAGAGGCAAATAATATATAGAATACAATTCTCTTTTTTCATATTTCTCTGTCTGAAAATTAAGTTAGTGATAGGCCCCCTTATTATGGTCTTGTTCGTAAAATTCAATTTACATCACACATATGCTTTCATACATGTATCAAGTTTACAAAACAGTCTATATTCTCTTCTATACCACATATACCACATGCATTCCGGTACTTTATAAACATGGCACTGCTGCAAGTGTAACTGTTTCACCTGTGGCCCCACCTTAACCCCTGGGTCATGATTACACAGAATACAGAACCTATGGGTATGTGCATTATATGATGACACATTTTTGTCACACTGATCAAGGCCTTGCTATTCTTCAGAATATATTTTCATTATAAGCTCATGTGAATCAATTTTTTTACCGTATCCTTTTGAGAAGATTGATACATACATGTATAAAAATTAGATCAATTACCAAGCCAAGTCCCCACTCAAACAGGGGTGGGGTGGGGGTCTTTAATATTCAATCAACTAAATATTAGGAAGTATTTTTTTCTTTTTAATATTCTTGCCTTGTAGTAATTAGAATATGCAGATTTTTTTCCATTATATTATTTACAAAATTCAAACTTGAATCTTTCTGACTCAAAGTTACATTGTGTCAACTTAGGATTTAAAACGGATTTAAAACGGCTCTAAATTTTTGGAGAACAGTTGAAAATGTGAAAATATGAGAGAATCATATGAAAAGTAAAGCTTTTGAACCATATGCAAACAGCTCACCTAAGCAGAAAATTTAAAGGAAAAGTAAACCTTTAAGTTGAGCTTTTGAACCAGATAAGCTAGGAAACAAGAGGCCCATGGGCCACATCGCTCACCTGAGCACCTTTGACCAGTTATGGTTTTGCTATTCTTGAGAAAATGATTTTTAAAGAATTTTCCTATAAATTTCTATGTAAAACTTTGATCGGCCATTGTGGCCCCGCCCTATCCCCGGGGGTCATGATTTGAACAAACTTGAATCTACACTACCTGAGGATGTTTATATCATAAGTTTCATCTTTCCTGGCAGAGAATTTTACTATATGGTTCTTGTAAGAAGATTTTTAAAACATACCACCAAATTTTCATTAATTCCCAATTAAGAATCTCCCCTTGAATGAGGGCGTGGCCCTTCATTTGAACAAACTTGAATTCCCTTCACTCAAGGATGCTTTGTGGCAAGTTTGGTATGTAAAATTGCCATTGTGGCCCACCCCCGGCGGTTGAACAAACTTGAATCTACACTACCTGAGAAGTCGAAAATGTTAAAAGATTTTTACATAACTATATACAGACGGACCATTGTGGCCCTGACATGACGCCGGACAAAATGTGATCAGAAAAGCTCACTTGAGCCTTCGGCTCAGGTGAGCTAAAAAAAATGGCAAACAGGGTATAAACTAAAATGGTAGGTTATACTTGTACTTGCTCCCAACACAATGATTTGTGCTTCTTATAACTATAAATGGTAAAAAATTCTTTTTCCAAGTGTGTGAGCTAGGACAAAAGATCCAAAAATCTGCGTAGTACCAAACTGAAAAGTTTTTACCTACATATAAGAGGTGCACATCTAAAAGATGTGTTTCATGTTCTGAGAATAAAACACCTCCTCCCTTTTTTAAGTTCAAAAGGCACACTAAACCTGCCCTTGAAAAACTGGCAACTTGTAATATAACACTTCCTAAAAACTGGATTTAGCAGGAGCTTGCATGTGCTCACTGAAACAAGTGTATATGCACTTGCCTACACATTCCTTGCTTCTGCAATTCTTACAGGATTGAAATCAGCCAAAATCTTCAAAAAATAACAATGATGCCACTCAAAGTGGTGCCTTGCGAAATCCACAGGTGTTACGAGTTTTACAGTCTAATGCTCTCTTTTAGCTAGGAACAGAAATGGTGCATGATGTCTAAAAATAAGGCAGAGTATGTAATTGTCAGGCACTCATCCAAAAATTTTAGGGAGTATCTCCAAACTTTTGCTCATCTTCTTCCTCTTTATAGTTTTCAATTTTGAAGGGAGTGCCAGAAAAACACATGCTTAGGTAATTAATTAAAATGAAATCCAGCTGTGTGCATTTATAAACATTATCTCGTCTTCTTCCGCGCTTCTTGTAAATAATATCAACTGCAATGAGATTTTCACTTTGCTATGTATATGAAATAGATTCAGAGCTTCTGTATTAATTAAAATATATCATAAAATGCTGGCATGGGGATTTAACATTCTGTTATAATCTGTTGTGCTGCACTCAAACAAACATAAATATTTCAGAACATTCTTCAATAAACATACCATGGTAATTTTTTTCAATGAACATGATGAAATTAAGGATATTTAAACACCTTTGTGACTATTAGCACTGCAACTGCCAAAGAAATTATTTAAAACTTTAAAACATCTGAAAAATTTGGAATGTACAAATTCTTAATACTTTCAATTATACATGTTCATCAAGCATAGCCAACATATTATGGGAATCTTAACTAGATAGCCTTCAAGCATTCATGCATGATATATATGTAAAGTAACATAAATAAAAAATTATATGGTTTAATTGTTACAAATTCAAATGTCAAAAAGTAGAAACATTTTGTTAGACAGATATACTTCAAGTACTTGAAATCACTTAACTCTCCTAAACTGTTACAAATCTCTCTATAAATACATTCTGTACTTCCAGAAAATATACTGGCAATTTCAGTTTATTCTGAATCAAAAAGTATCAAGTAATTAAAGTGATTTGGGTTTTTCTGAATGAATCATTGAAGTACAAGTGTTGTTCTTTCATTTGCACAACAACTAAATAAGTGTTTAGCACTCCTTATGGAATCACCATATACACAACAAAGTGATATATGAGATTGTAACGGTAACCACCCACCAACTTCAATTTTTTTGGGGGGGATGGGTGGGGGTGGGGTGGGGTGGGGGGACTTACACCCAATGAAAACTGATGATTTTCATCTTCTTAACATCTGAAAATGCTTACAGAAAGTCATAATTGCTCCAATGAATCGTGATCAACCTAACATTCCTACAATTTTAATAACTATGTGACAGTGTTTCATTTAATATCAATATTAAAATCAATATGTACACTTGTTCATTTCAATAGTTAATCCTAGATCAAAAGATCAGTCATTCAGTTTGGAAGTATATCAAGTCTGGATCTACATAATCACTACTATACAATGGATATTAATTAAGATGTACTGCATAGCATTAAATTTACTTTAGTCTCCCTAAGATAGTAACTCAAAAATTACATCAATAGGTGAAAAAACTTATCTTTTTTGCAAATAACTTTTTTGTTTTAAATTACACTTTGATACAAACATGAATATGACTACAACAGGAGAGGGCGAAAAATGTGATGGAGCAGACACGGATTCTAACCCAGGTCCCCTGATTCTCCTGACCAGTCAGGTGCTTGTCTGCTCTACCAACTCTCTGGTCACTGGTGATTGAATACGTCTGACCATCACAGAATTCAAAATTGACAAGTTAAAATCCCCCCCCCTTTTTTTTAAAAATATCTTCATTGATGTTAGCCCTAATATTTTAAAAATGTTGTCAGTAATTATTTCAGGAGAGAATGAATAATTACAGATATCTTCATAAATTCACAAAAGAAATGCAAGACAAGTTGTTTCTATGGTTTGAGCACCCCAACTGCACTCTTCCATGCAAGTTAAATTTCACCATAAGAGCATACTACGATGCTGCTGCAGAGATCTGGAAATCAAATGAAGTAAATAATATTGTGTTAAAAATAAATTGCCCCTGAACAATGAATGTCAACATTGAAAATTTTATTACATAGGAAATGTTAATCCTCTTTTCGTCATATTTATACGCAATTGAAAGTAATTGTAAGTATTTATAAGAAATTAAAGATAAATGCTTGGAATCCAAAGAATCCATGGGCGATGGTGTATCTTCAATAATTATCCAAACATCAACTTGATTGAGAAACCAAACAAATAATACCACCAAAAATCTTCCTCCTAATATTAAACCCCATCCTTTATTTGGCAAAAAGACTTCAATCATGTACAGTCTATTATTCTATAGGCCTATTCTGCACAAATGTATGCAATTTGAAAGTCATCTGCCAGACTAAGAGTAGACCAAATAAAAATTTTGGAATAAAAGGATTACCCAAGCAATGGTAAATTATAGATACATTTCTATCTTGGAAATGGAATTCTTACCGAATAAATAAAAATGAACCACAAAACCTCCTCGAGAAAATGAAGAGGATGAGTCATCCCGACTCGGCTAAATCAGGTCATTTCAGCAGAAAAACAAAACATGTTTACAGAATGCATGGTCTATAACAGTTTACTTACCTTATTAAACACATCATGTCAAATAAAATGTTCCTGCATGTTCGTTGTTTTTGTTGGGGCCCCGAAATCAACACTCCATTCATGTGTTACTCATCCTTTCGATGCGCTCGCCTGCCACTTCCGTAATCAGCTTCCACTTTAGTGACGTCATTTGGCGGGAAAATTGGAAAGCGCTTTTCTACTAAATCTAGCCCCCCCTCCCCATTTCCAAAAATGTTTTATACATGTATGTGGATACATATAGAGGGAAAAACTGTCATTATATTTTAAAAGTAACACATTATTAAACACTGAAAAAAATGGTGAAAAGGGCTTTTGTAAGAAAGCAATTAACAAAAGAAGCTTTACATAAATTTTACTTTTCAAGCAATCAATATCATCGGAGAAAATATATTGCCCAAATTATCTATTTTCCACGAAACACAGCTGTCGTCAATTTTTGATATCAAATAATTAAGAGATGTGACTTAAGATGTTGTTACAGTTAAAAAGTTACTGATAAAGGTAATTTGAAGAATTTCTTTGAGACTAAAGTGACTGGAATTAATAATGAAATGTCTCAAGAAATTTTCGTATAAAACACGTGTTTTAGAAAAGCAATGGCGATCAAACATGTATTGCATGCATGTGTACCTTTATGTTCTGTTGTCTTTTTTTTCCTTCGAGTTGCTCATCTAATAAATCGGGGAAAAATTATATCAGAGAGCAGCTTAGTTTAAATATAAAAAAAAATAAATAAACAAAGATGTAAAATAACCTATTATTGAACGTCCGACTAAAATAATACTCAGTGGGATTGTTATTATTTTTTTTTTTTTACAATGAAGTAGCATCGTTTTTAAAAAGGGGGTGGGTGTATGGAATGCCATATACGACAGCCAACTGCTTACTGCCAACTGCTGACTGCTTACTGCCAACTGCCCGCTGCTTACTGCTAACTGCCACACATATTTGAATAAATTTCATATTTATATTGATATTCATATGAATCTAAAAAAGAGAAGAAAAAAAAAAAAACAGGCGCGGATCCAGGACATTTTTCTTTTTTTTTCAAGAGGGTCATCCTTGTAAAATTAAATTGATTTAATAACCAATGTGTTTTATCTTACGTAATATTCAATATATGCGATTAATAAAGTACAAATGTTTATTTTTTAAAATTTGTTTTCTTATTTGAAATAGGTATAATAAAATGATTATTTTCTGCTTTTAATCTTTAAAGAAGTAACCCCCCCCCCCGGAGACAACAAAACATTTGAAGAGAGAGAGAGAAAAAAAGAATTGTCTTTTCGCAGAGAAAGATGTTTTGAAAATAAATATACATTTTCCAGTATATTCTATAGTTGAAAATTTCCCCAAAAGAAAAATACCGCGGTGTGTTATAAAGTTTCAAATGCATGGATCTTCGGGGGGGGGGTGTTAAAATTTGTACAGTCATGGGTTAATGTATAAACTAAACGAACTAAAACTGACCTTGGACCATCCATTTAGAAAGCATTTATATCTCTTTGTTTTTACAAATAAGATCTGGGGCCCGTTTTACAAAAGAACTTACGACTAAGACCAAAAAACTTCAGATGATTGTAAAATTTTGCAAAATAAATAATTATCTTTGAATTTGTTTGTGTAAAAATATCTTACCACAATTTTCGATATAAAATTAATTTAAAAGTTGTATGAAGAATTAAATTTGGTCTTAAAACGGGCCCCTGTTTTACATCCTAGACCTAGAGAGAGGGGTCCGGACCACCCCTCTGAAATTTTTAAAGTTATTTAATGCACGAACTAAAACAACCAAAAGATATTTATTGTTTAAATTAAATCAACTAAAAGGGACCTTACAACCCCCCCCCCCCCTGAAAACGCGAATTTGTGTTAAGTTGGTATAAAAAATGTCATAGACATGAAGGTACGACGCATAATAACCCCCTCTCCCCGGCCGAAATAAATTTTCACACTTAGGAAAGGACTTTACTTTTTTTTTTCCTGTCATAAAATTTCTGGGCTGGATTTTTTTTTACCAGAGTGACCCTCTTGGAAAAAATGTCCTAGATCCGTGCCTGTTTTTTTTATTTATTTATTTTTGGTGATTTTTTTTTATTTTTGGTGAAAATTCACATAAATATCAATATAAAAATAAAATTTATTCAATTTTGTGCGGCAGTTAGCAGTAAGAAGCTGACAGTTGGCAGTAAGCAGTCAGCAGTTGACAGTAAGCAGTTGGCTGTCGTATATGGCATTCCATATGGGTGGGATTTTTATCTTTTTTTTTTACAGTGACCGTCGTAGCATCGTTTTTGAAAAGCTAAGAAAAAAAATTACTTAGCTGAAAAAGTTGACAAGCAAAATAACCGAAAAAAAAAAAAAAACAACAAAAAACCCTACTTTGTGTGTGTGTGTGGGGGGGGGGGGGGGGGTGGGGGTCTTCATACAAACTACATTACTACATTACCCTTATATCACTTTACTCTAGCAAAAAGTGGGGGGGGGGGGGGGAACCAGTCTTTCAATGAACATTTTCAATAGTCAAAGTTATGTTTGGAAAAGAGTGGGGGATAGCCCCCCACCCCCGTCTCCCTGTTGCTACGTGCCTGTTTTATACGCGAATTTCAGAGCATATATAGCATTGTGTTTTTGACAAACGAATTAAAAATTCTTTGATATTTTTTTACAGTGACATACATGTTACTTAGAAAAGATGGGAATCTAGAAATGATGGCCCAATTTGCAAATGATTTTGAATATCCAAAAAAATCTGTTCCAATGACAGATTTATTTTATCTTTAAAAATTAGAAAAACAACTTTTTACATCTAGCTTTTAAAATATACACCCATTCTCAATATAAGGGCTCAAATAATGTCGCCTCATTTTCATTTAAAAGAAATACCACTGATGTAATTTTTAAATCAACATTATAAATAGTCATATAACAATAAATAAGAATTCATATAATTATCGATCTGAAAAGGTATTTAAGGAGTTCCAAATTCAAATATAGTAGCCTATTTGAAATGTACGTTACTGTCGCCGAGGCAAATATTATTCTGAATCCCCTCTGTGTAATATATAGTTTTGATTCTCAAGTAAAAATTTTCTGATAAGTTAAACCTTGTATCATACATATTTCTTTTCATAACAATAAATACATTTTCTTTGTGATAATAAATGATTTTTATTGTTCAATGTCCCTGTCGCTTAATTCTATTTCAACCAAATTACAAGCAAACACAAAGATTATACACTTGATAGTTTTGTTCTCCTTTATTTATTGATGGGCTAAATTTGAAATTTCAAAGGATTAATTACTCCTACTTAGATAATGTAACATGAAAATGAACAATTTGAGCAACTTTTATAAATATGTTTACGGAATGAAAGACATTTTCAATCGTAGAGATAAGAAAGAAATGTACGTTACCTATATTCTTCCATTAAGAATATATATTAAGTAGAAAATATGAGACAACTCTGAATAAGCAACCCCTTGTATCCTGTAAACTGGCAAAGACGTTTTGCTTAACACAGTTAAAAATTATTTTTTACATTAAAAGTGATCATTTGAAATGTACGTTACTGAAATGTACGTTACCATGAAATTCGAATTAAGTGAATCTCGCACGAATTTTCATGTATTCTCATACTTTCACACACTCGAATGTGTACACAAAGGAAAGTTTCAAAGGTTGGAGGTCGGCTAAATCCCAAAATTAATGAAAAGAAACGTTTCTGCTTAGGAAAAAAAATATATTAAGGTCAATTTTATGTAATATAATTTTGATACCTGGTATATATTTCTGAATACGAAACCTGTATGATGCATTTCTTATGATATGCAAGTTCAAATAGTATCAATATATTGCGTGTCTAACGTACGCTTGTGGAAGAGAATTGATTTTTATATTTGAAATGTACGTTACGTATGGTAACGTACATTTTACGTATTTCTAACTGATATTTTTTTTTAATTTAGTCAATGAATTGCGTTTACACGAGCGAAACAAAATTATCGTTACAATCCATTTGACAACTGGCCACATAAATCCATCTAAATGCACCCCAATCCTCGTAAATGTTTTAGACTGTTACCACATGCTAGAAAATTTATTTTTAAGTGTTTTAAATTCATCTTTGACAACCTTTTTGCAGGTGGTTTACTTTTAATATGCGACTTTTCGTCAATATTAATTTAATTGTTGTTGATAATTCAAAATAAAACAATGTATGCATAGGCTTATAATTGGTATAAAAAAAAAAAGAAACAAAACAAAACAAATAAACCCAGAACACAAGACGGTCACGTACATTTCAAATACTGAAAGGCACACAATACTCAGTTTTGTTTGAATCATTGCATTTTGGGTTATATTTTTCCAGATCTGCCGAAAAGCACGTATGTTTGTGATTTGAAAAACGATGTTGCAACATACTAAAAGAAATTGTTAACAAACTGTCGATGGATATATTCGGAATATAGATTTATGTTAAGTTTCAATGGCCATACACGAGCATTTGTTAGATCATAGCAAAATACGTCTGACTCTTATATTTTTTTGTCTGTACCCTTGCACACAGGTAGAAGTAACTAGGCTACGACCGGTGTCTATGGCAAGCCCTTTTACTATTTATTCGAAAAATAATTATTTCTTTCAATTTGAGAGATATCTCTCTAGCATAGAGAGATATCTCTTTAGCCTATAGAGATATCTCTTTCACTAATAGAGATATCTCTTTAAACAAAAGAGATATCTCTTTTTGAAAGAGAGATATCTCTTTTTGTAAGAGAGATATCTTTATAAGCTAGAGAGATATCTCTTCCAGCGAGAGAGATATCTCTTAAAGTTAGAGAGATATCTCTTTAACAAGTTTAAAAGAGATATCTCTCATAGTTAGAGAGATATCTCTATAGATTTTCAAAAAGAGATATCTTTCTAAGCTAAAGAGATATCTCTTTTAATGAAAGAGATATCTCTTTCCAAATCACCCTTAAAATAACATAATTAATTCTCCCGTTGAAAACGAAAGCGAAACAGGAAGTAATGTTTGTTAAGTCGTTCGTTTTTGATTATTGAAAAGAAGAGGAGAAAATGGATTGATTGATACAGGTACTAAACAACGTGTAATCGCTTTATTGATTTAGTAAATCACGTACATACAGTACATACAAGCTATTCCAACTGGGTCACGAGCATTTTAAAGCATAAAAGTAAGTGTTTTCAAACTAAAACGTTCCCTTAAGATTGGTCCCATACATATATGATTTCAGGCAAATAGCATCGTTTTTGAAAGGGGGGGGGGCAACCAGAGAGATTTGTTTTTTATATTTACCAGTAAAAGTTGACCAAACTCGATAATCCTATTTCGGGAGGGGGGGGGGGGTTAGTGGCCAATTTTTTTCAAGACCAAATATTCCTTTCACTTCCAATTTTTATTGCATAAAATACTAAATTTCCCCATTTCCATGATATCACTATACTGTTATTCTATACTGTGGTAAGAAGTGGGGTGGGGGCCAACAAACTATTCAATGCACATCATCAATAGCACAGGTACTTGGGTCATGGTTTATAAATATTTATAATGTACCTTATTGATGTGTAAAAGTACTTTTTTTTACCTATCAATAAGGTACATTATAAATATTTATAAACCTTGACCCAAGTACCTGTGCTCAATAGTAGAGGTATTGTTTGGAAAAAAGGGGGGGCTAGTAGTGATCAAACTGGAGCGGATCAAAGATCTAATTTTAATTAGATTGGGGCAAGGCGCCCTTCCCTCCCCCTCAACCCCCCCCCCCCCCCTTTGTTGCTTTGTGCCTGGAGTTAGCTCACGGGACAGCTAATCATGAGGTCGACATATAGTCTTAGAATGCAAAGTCAATAAAACAAATAGGAAATGCATATGTTACCAAATTCATCAATCACGGGAATACAGGGTTGATTACTACGTCGATTAAACATAATCCTGATAGAATGTTCTTCTTTAATTTGTTAAATAATAATCCAGAAATAAAGACGCCCAACATTACTTCTTTCATATACACAGGGATGTATATACTCATTTTCAATTTTAACTGTGGGATGTTAAACAACACACATGTACGATCAATATATTAACTGTAAAGCCTTATGACCCCTTTCCCAAATACTAGTTCTCTTACAATTAAGAGACAGACACATTGCTAGAACAATCAAATGGTGTCTCCCAACAGGCCTGCACTGGGTCCATAGGGCATTCATCATTCAATGATGGAACATTTTATCTACTTTTGTCATCATATATTTTACAGGGATCCAGGAGGTACTGAAAAAGGGACAATGCTTCGACTGAATGTGTCATTCATTTACATGTACCAGTATAGATCTGTTACTGAGGCATATCCAATAATTCTTATACTCATGAAGAGTGTGGCAACTTCCAAGTAGTTGATGCTGGGACTCATTTTAAATCAGGTACAGGAAAAATTTTCTTTTCTTTACTTCAATATTTCAAACTTACTAGTTCAGTATCAAGTTCACAAAAGCTCACACACCATGGCGTTAAAATCAATGGACCATAATGCTAGTTAAATTTATCATGTTGCTTTCTTATTAAATTATCAATTTGAAATTTGATCGGTAAAAATTATTTGTTAACAAGTATAATTCTCCTACTCTCTGCCTAATATTACATCCCAACGATTGAAAATATATGTTGATAGGTTCTCCACAAAAATTGCTAACTGTGCAGAATGTAACTTGTTTGCACATTTGTTTCAACAAACGACATTTTCTTAACAATCCTTCAGTATAACAAGACAAATATTGGATGCTTATTTTAATACACTATAAATAAACATCAAGAACAAATTTAAGGAAGTTTAATTTTTGTGTATTTGGTTGTTACATGTGTAATTTGTTGTATATATATAGGATGTACACAAGCATTTTATAACATTGTTAACATTCAAGAAAGCATTCACTTAATTTCTTGTAGATGCTCACTTCCAGGATGTTTCCAGGTTCTTGTTAAAAGTGTTTTATATGGCACCATTCAGCTACAAATACTTTGCCGGTGGAACTGTGACATCAATCAGCTGCTCATGGCACAGCTAATTGGCAGAGAATTTCCTTTGGGACAAGCAAACTGTTTCGAACATTTTACACCTGCAAGTAAGTACTTAATTATGCAATTTTGTTTGAAGGAAGCTAAAGGCTAATGATTAATGAAAATACAAGCCAGATGAAGTACAAAAGTGTTGATACAAGTCATTTGAATTTTTATTTCTTTGCAGGTAGTGATGAATGTACTGGAAGGTTTTTCAGGATCTCTCCCAACATCATAGGTACAACTGGTCACTGTGCTTGGTTGGTTATATAAGCCGGCATATTATTAAGGCGGTGACATAGCTCCAAATGATGCTTGACTATTTTTCTTCAAATTATAAGTAAACCTGGATTGATCTCTGATGCAGTAATATAGAGCCATGTCCATTTTTTAAATTCTATCTTCCCACTGTCACAAAGTACTGAAATAGAAATGATTTGATTTTAAATATATTTTTTTGGCTTTTCTATGTAACATAAAATTCTACAAAAATTCAAATATTAAAACTACTTCAAAACAAGATTTGTTTGTGAAACACTTTGCGCCCGGTGACAACAAATTCGAAAAAGTTATTTTTAGCATGTAGGTCACAGTCAAGGTCACAAGGTCATTGAAATTGGTGTCATTTGCAAGAGCTTAATTTGTGGAGTATGCATATCAAATATGAAGTCTTTATCTTTAATGGTTCAAAATGTATGGGGAAAGATCAAAATGGTATTTATAGCATTTAAGTCACAGTAAAGGTCACAAGGTCATTGATCTTGGTGTCATTCAAAAGAGCTTAATTAGTGGAGAAGGCATCCAAAATATGATGTCTCTATCTTTAATGATTTAAAAGGTAAAGCGAAAGTTCAACTACTGTATACAGGGTTATTTTCGCCCTTACACAACTGAAAACAAGTTTGGCCCATTTTAAATTCGCCCAAAAATATTTATGTTTAAGATATACAGTTTACTCTGAATTTGCCCTGTTTTAAATTCGCCCACGCAAGACTGGGGCGAAAGGGGCGAAACTTAAACGGGGGAAAATTTCCCTGTATACAGTTAGCTATTTTAGCATATAGGTCACAGTCAAGGTCATAAGTCATTGACATTTGTGTCTTTTGAAAGAAGTTAATTAGTGGAGTATGCATATTAAGTATGAAGTCTCTCTCATGGTTCAAAAGTTAAGGCAGAGGTTAAAGTTGCCAACAGACAGGACAAAAGCAATATACACCTCGGATCTGGGCACATAAAAAGAAAAGTGGGAAACTTTACTAGATGAGTCAATCTCGGAAAAAGAATGGAAATTCTTCTTTGTAAATGCATCATCGTTCACAAAAGAGACAACTAGAAATATGTCCATAGGACATGAATGCCCCGCCAAGGGTATATCAGTACTGCAAGATGAAAATTTGAATTTGTGTAACTGTTTGAAATTCCAGAATATCTTGAAAAGTGATGCAGTTGAACTGGTTACATCAGTATGCATCAGCATATGAAGTTTTAACACCAATTGAAGAAAAATGAGGTCTTAGGTCAAAGGAAAGACCAATGTCAAAGATGTCAATGCAGTTGAAAGCTCTCATCATTATGTATCAGCATATGAAACTTGAAAAATAATATAATGAATGGTTTCTTTAAAACTAACTTAATCACAATTTGTTAAAAGTGAGGCCAAGGTCAAATGAAAGATCAAGATCAAAATGTTGATGCAAATGAATAGCTATCATCAGTATCTATTAGCATATAGAGTTTGAAACTAATTTAGGAAGAGTGAGGTCAAAGGAAAGGTCAAGGTCAAAAATATTGATGCAATTGAATAGCTCTCATCAGTATGTACACTGTATCAACATATGAAGTTTGATAAAAATATCTTGAATCAATGGTATCTTTAAAACTGAGTTTAACACTAATTTAAGAAAAGTGAGGTCAAGGTCAAAGGAAAGGTCAAAGTCAAAGAATGTTGATGCAGTTGCTCAGCTCTCATCAATATCTATCAGCCTATGAAGTTTGATGAAAATAATTATCTTGGATAGTTTCTTTGAAAATGAGCTTTGAACAGAGCTAAATGCAAAGTGTGACGGAAGGACGGAAAGACGGACATGACAAACACTATATGCTCCAGCCATATTCATGGCGGGGCATAAAAATAATTTATTTTCAATATCGATTACTGATGAATTATATTGCAACCAACTCCTTTCTCCATAAAATCAAGCTGTCAGAAAATAGTGTATGTACATTCTGTAATATTGAAAGAGAGACAATAATTCACTTATTTTATGATTGTGTATATAAAGTTGACAGAATTTTGGAATGAATTTGTACAATGGTTTAGTGTCATTGAAATTAATTAAAAAATATGCAAAAGAACTGTTTTACTTGGTAATATTCCCAGTAGAAGGAAGTTGTTTAGAAAATTTTCTTTTATTAGTTGCAAAACAGTTCATTTAATATTATAGATAGTAAGCCATTATTTATTGATGCAATAAAGTTATTTAAGTATTACAGAAACATAGAAAATTATTGTGAAAATTTTTTTCGATGTAAGGACAAAATACTCAGTAAATGGGCCCTGTGTGATAATGTGTACAACAAGTGATGAAAAAATCAAAATTGTATTTTTTTGTTAATTTATATCTATATATTTTGGTACATCTGTTTTGTTTTTGGATAAATCATATGTTTAACTGTCATATGTTTACATATATGTACATTTATTATGCCACCCTTCAAAGAAGAGAAGGCATATTGCTTTGCTGCTGTCTGTCGGTCCATTTAGTTTCCGTTTATTTTCTTCACAACCATTGCACATACTGAAATGAAATTTGGTATACGGGTATATCAGAGGTCAAGTTTGACAGAGTTATGCCCTCGGACTTAGAAAAATTCCAATGTGGGGGGAGGGGGGCATAAGTGTTTAACAAACATCTAACATCTCTTGTCATTTTGAAGTTTAGAAAGTGCAATGTATGAGTGTGTGTAATTGTGGTGGTGAGTGGGTGAAAATTGTTTGGTATGCGTTTGTATATATACTGAAAGGAAAAAGAAACGCATAAAAAACTTTTGAATAAAATTAAAACTTTTATTTCCAACATGTTTTCCAGTATTGTTATCAAACATTTTAATTGATTTTTAAACAACAAGTAACCGAAATATTGTGTGACTTTGACTGATAATCCCTGAGTTATTGAAATTGATATGTCGATACCCCCCAAAATCAAAATAAAAATTCTCATCATCTCCCTTGCGCATCAGTAACAGCCTTGATTTTTTTGTTCATTGAGTTCACCAGAGCATTTATCTTTCTCAAGGATTATCATTAAAGCCTTCCGATGGTAGTCTTAATGGTTGAGAGTAGCTGTATTATTCCAATGCTAATAAATTCCCCGCCCAGTGAATCCCACGAATTTTCGTTTTAAGGATAGAATTTACTGAATCTAGCTGATTTGGTACACTTGAATGTTTGTAAGGAAGCATCGACAAACACTGGCTACATTTTCTCAGCGTGAACATGCTAAAAACAATACGCATACAGCACGTGTGAGAGTAAAATTGACGTAAAGTTGCCAAGCTTGCATACCAAATTAGAGCAGAGAGTTTCTGTCAGTATTAGGATAAAAATATGAGTAGGATTGCCCGCTGTAAAAATATCGGTTTCAGTGATAATGACTTGACAATAACCGAGGTAGCATGATGAAAAACCCTATCTTGATGTGACGTTGTTACGGGCCAACGTCACTCTTATGGTTGGTTGGAAACCTTGTAAGTTACTCTCTGACAACCGAAAAAACTTTTTTAATTGAAAAGTCAAAATCAAACTGCGCAGCAACATGGTGTTGCCTTTTTATTCACTTACGCAATTCAAATACTGGAACCAGTGTAACTTCCGTCAGCCATACCATGATTGCAAGAAATTTATACTGATTGCAAATGCGGAAAAAGATTTCTATAACTCTAATGCATCTCTTGGCACACAAAATGTGATCACAAAATTGTCATCATCAACATGCACGTGTATTTGGCTTTTTATTATATACACCATACATTTCATGGTTGAGTAATTTTGACCAGCGATTTTAGTGCACAGTAACCAAAATACACATCTGACCAATTTTCATAATTTTCGGCCACATAGTTGAATATTTTTCGCTTTTATGCTATTATGCGTTTCTTTTTCCTTTCAGTATATGGATATACATGTAGGAAAAGCTTCAGAATAAAGCATTTAAAAAAAAGTTTTGGAAAGTATGGCAATCATATACCAGTACTCAGAAATGCTAAATAAAAGGCTTCCTAAGAGAAAAAAAAATCAAAACTACCAATCAAATAAGTATTAAATGTAAATCTTTTAAGATGAAGGGTTTGCTTTGTCAGATTCTTTGCTTCAAAGGACACTTACCTAAATAATGTCATGACAGGTGAGGCACATGGCTGGTCTTCAAGCTGGATCAGTTCTTAATCAAAACCATCCAGTATTGTCTTAGGATTGCAGGATGTGCAGACACCTGTAATTTAGCAAGCTTCTGTAACATGTCATTTGAATTATTGCATACTTGTATGTGCAACTGATAATACAGTAAAACTCAGTTTTAACGAAGTCACTGGGACCTATGAAATTACTTTGCTACATGTATATCCATAATTTGTTATATCCATATAAGATATTTTTAAATATAACTGGGGATCCAAGATAACTTAGCTATATCCCTGAATTCGCAATATCCGTGTTCGTACTTACCAAGTTTTATTGTTATTTAGGACTAAGGTGCCTGACAAATATTGAGTTATACATCTTGCAAATATCCATTCATTTGATACAAATCTTAACTTTCTTCGTTAAATTTCATCAAAGATTTTACAAGAAAATGAGAATAAAAAAATATTGTCGTTCACAAACACAGAAAAAATATTTTTATTTAAATTTTTTATTTAACAATAGATGTTTGTAACACTTACGCCCCCCTCCCCCCAAAAAATTAGAATTTTTCTGAGTCCAAAAGTGCATTACTCTGTCAATTATGGTGCGATCATACCCAAAACAAAACTTGACTTCGATATTCATCTGACTAATCTGTGTACTAAATTCCATTTCAATATGTGCAACCTCTATAAAGAAAATAAAAAGAAGCTGCAAATAATTTGAATTTTTCTAAGTCCAAGGGGCATAACTCTGTCAAAAATGGTACAATCATACCCAAAACAAAACTTGACCTAGATATTCGTCTGATATACCTGTATACCAAATTTCATTTCAGTATGTGCAATGGTTGTGAAGAAAATGAACAGAAACTAAATATACCTACAGACCGACCGACAGACAGCAGCAAAGCAATATGCCCTCCCTTCTTCTAAGGAGGCACAAAAATATTTGTTGCATTTTCATATCTAGGGTGCCCCTCCAAGGCCAACATTAAAAAAACAGATTTGTTTGATGTACTCTGACCGACCTCTTAAAATGGCCCCTACCCATTAGCAATCACTTTTTGGGCACTTCAAATTTTTTTATTTTTCCACCTTAATTTTCATAGATGTTTTAAAGATAAGGTATCAATTTTTTTTAAAATGCTTTTCAATTTATAAATATAAAGTCTTTCTAGCTAGTAATGAAAACATCAACAGATTTCTGAGTATGTGCATGGTTTTAATTATGACAGTTATCAATTTGTTCAATACTGTAAGGCAAAAGAAAAAAAACCCTACCAATACCTACCTACTAATCTTGATAAAAGTGGGTAGGAGTACATCAAACAAACATTTTTAAAGATGGTCAATGTTGACTAGTATATTAGTCATCTTGTAAAAAAAAATCCATACATGTATATATAATAATTATACATTTAATCTGTAAACAAGAGTATTTTACCCCATTTTAATAGTGAGGTGAGATGACAGTAAAGTTGAATAAAGGGGTCTATGTCTAAACCTTAAGGTGGGGTGGGGGTAAAGCATCCCTGGACATCTCAGACTTTTTTGTCATTTTTTGATATGCTATGTCTTACAAAAAATTAATTTTATATTTGTCCTAGAACTTATTTTGTTGCATCAATTTCATACCTGTATTTGATTTGCATTGTTTTGGATTCTGATAATTCAAAGTCAGTATAGCCTTAGGTGCCGCTGACTTTGGATCTCTTAGCAACTGCATCTTTTATCTGTGTTACTGGTTCTCTTGTACCTCTGCTATAAAATAAGTTTTAGTGTATACAATTGTGTAATATCAATGACTAAATTCAACAGACAGATTTGTTTAACATCCCTCTCAAGAATTTTTCACTCATATGGAAACACCGGTGGAGAGCTGCAAATTTTGTCCTATGCTCGGCACTCAGGGCCATTGAGCAGGGAGGGATCTTTTTAGTGCCAATACCTACTGTGAGGTTGGGCCATGGTTCATACTGTATCATCCCAAGGACAAGTCTCCACATCCCACAGTGGGATTCAAACCCACGATGTAAGGATCAACTCCTAACTTTGCGACTCTAGAGCAGATGCTCTAACCACTGCGCCATGCGGGTGAATTTGAACAGACAAAAATTTAACCAAAATCCCTAAACCATGTTCTATAAATAGGGAACATACTCTCAGTCTCTAAAGTGAGAAATATGGTCATGTTAATGTAGTGATCTGAAGTTTGTTTAATGCAGCTTCTGTAAGAAATTTTTGACCTAAAGTGTAATAATAATAACACAAGGTATCTAACTCCGAATTACACGGAGCACCCCCCTCCCTTAAAATCGTGCTCCTTTAAGAGGAAATGCACGGGTAAACTGTTTATACCTATTTCTTCTACAATAATTCATCTACACAACCATATATGGCATGCTTGTCTCTATTTTCTTTTACCTCTGTAATCAGCGTCAAAACTCTGCTTGTTGGGTCGAAAGTCAAACTCAACCATAGAATGGTATGTTCTAGTCTTGGGCAAAGAGCAAAATTAAAAAATCAGTGGTTTTAAAAATTCAATTCTATTGTTTAAATATTGCAGTGAGTAAATAGAACTTGTTTACGTCTAATTTTCCCTGAAAACATTAAGATGTTTATCTGATGTAATGTTAGAAACAGATTTTTATCCAATCAAAATCTCTGTGCGGGATCAGCACATACCGTTCCATGGTTGAGTCGACTTTTCCACTCAGCAAGCAGAGTTTTGTCTCTGTTTACGGAGATAAACAAAAAGACAGACATGGATGCTATGTATGGTTATGTAGATAATTTATTGTAGAAGACAATCGTATTAAAGAGTTTGACAGCTAGTGCATTTCGTCTGAAAGTGTATATAAATGAATGCGTTTCTGAGGGAGGGGGTAAGAAGTGTAATTTGGAGTAAGATACCTTGTGTTATTACATGTATACTGTGGGTTAAAAATTTAGTACTGAAACAAGCCCCTTTGGGCAAAAAATATGAACAGAACATCTTGTAAATACTCAAATAGATCTAAATTGCTACAAACACTTAATACACAAAAAGTTAATCCACAGACATACGAAAGGTAAAACTTTACTGAAAAATATGTATATCAAATAAATATTTACCCAAACAAAAGTGATGCAGCCACAATATGACGTTAGTAGTAGTACCCATCGAACACTGACAAAACTCCTCCTCTACAATCAGCTGATGAAAACATTATTGTCCTCGGATTCGAGAAAATTCTGTTAATAAATTAAGGCAAAAGATGATTACAAAACTATTTCATTCGGTTGAGAATAAAACACCTAATTTACCCTCAAAATAAACAAGAAACGGATGACACTCTGATTTGTTTACCTGTACTTCGATTGAAATTTTCCTGGTGGACAAGTTTTTATTACATCGTAAGTCGATAAACCATTCCGCTTTGTAAAACTATTTTACTTTCCCCCGAAAGCTTTGCGTAAACCAGAAACATGCTGAACTCAATGACACAACTCCACGTGTTAGGTACCCCGGAAGTGAGGTACCCCGCGAGTTACGTGACAAGCACTTTCAGACCCTGGACCGAATTTTCTCAGCTTTTGAAATACTTCCGGTAAAGGGAGAAGTAATTTCAAATGGAATTTAAATAAAAATAATGAAGAGAGATATCTCTTTGCAATAAAGAGATATCTCTTTTTGCTTGAGAGATATCTCTTGTAGACACTTTTGAGAGATATCTCTTTCACTTTGAGAGATATCTCTTAAGATAAACTTAGAGAGATATCTCTTTTACTTTAAGAGATATCTCTCAAAGTGAAAGAGATATCTCTCTAGGTGAAAGAGATATCTCTTTAGGTGAAAGAGATATCTCTTTAACGTTCAGAGATATCTCTTTTCACGAAAGAGATATCTCTCAAGGAGAAAGAGATATCTCTCAAAGTAAAAGAGATATCTCTCTAAGTATAAGAGATATCTCTCTAACTTTAAGAGATATCTCTTTCTTATAGAGATATCTCTTAGAAATAAGAGATATCTCTTTAAGTTGGGAGATATCTCTATTTTTTAAGAGATATCTCTCTAAAATGAGAGATATCTCTGTAATTTGAAGATAAAATTTATTTTCCGAATAAATAGTAAAAGGGCTTGCCATAGGTGTCAATTTCAGCGAAAGAGCACAAAAGAATGGTAATGAACTGAGGTGGAGGGGACTCCCCAATAATATGTAAAATGAACGTTACCGAAGTGACGAGACATAGTTGATGACAAATAACCTCTTTTGTTACATTATAATTTCTTAAATTACTGTCTTAAAACGCTTCATTGAAATGATTTTTATGTCAATAATTGCTTTTTTTCTCAATATTTTCTTATTACTTATTTACATATTATTACAAGCTTGAAATGTACGTACCTACTCATATTCTGAGCAATCGTATCTTTATAGTGGTGATTGTGACATATAACACAATGCGATTACATAGAGAATCTTTTTGGAATGAACTGAAACAAAACGATGAATTTTTAGATTAATTTTAAGCTTTTTATTAAACAGAAATTTATCTTGAAATGTACGTTACATTTACGCAGTTTTCTAAATCGGCATGGATATATGTTAAAAAGACAGTAACTACAAAATAGAATTTTACTACATGTACATGTTAGGTTCCAGTATCTATAGAAAATGACAAGATTCCAAACTGATCGCTCTAAACAAAACAGAGAGAGAAATTTAAAGCATATATTTAAAAAAATGTTTTTATACATCTGGATCAAAAAGTAACCCTTGTTTTTTGAAAGGAAAAATCAAACGCACGTTCGTATGCCGAGAAAATATGTTGCTGACAGAGTTGGTAGGATGTGCTGGTGTCAAGATGAGATATTCCAATTGTGATTTGAATGACATTTTTTTTTACATATCTTTTTGGACATTGAAGAAAGAGTAACGTACATTTCAAGCTACATTTCTGAATAAAATCACCCTCTACTTTATCGTCTTGTCATTATTCCATGTATTATAATTTGATGAAAAAAAATCTGGAAACAAAATCTTCAGATACTTTCTTTCAAAGGTAATTGATAGAAAAATTGTTATCTTGAACTTCATTTTTTTAAAAATCAGAGAGGCATTTGTGCCCTTATATTGAGAATGGGTGTCAACCCTCATATTAACAAACATTATATATCATGTAAAATAAATCATCTTTAAAGAGAATATTCTGACATGTAGAAACGCAATCTCTACCCAGAGTTATCGTTCGCTTCGCTACAACACTTTTAAAATAAAACATTGACTACTATATTGTAGTACCAGTTGAAATCACCTCCGTGAGCGACCGACATTGTTCAAATCATGACCTCCGGGGATAGGACGAGGTCACAATAGAGAATCCAAGTTTTGTATTAAAATACATGTATATAGAAAAAATCTTTTTAAAAAATTCTTCTCAAGAACCACTAGGCCTGAAAAGCTGAAACATGTGGTAGCATCTTTGGGTAGTGTATATACTATAAATTGTTCAAATAATGACCCCCAGGGGTAGGTTGGGGAAATAACGGGTATTGCAATGGGTAAAATATGTGAAGAACAGCATGCATGGTCAGTTACTCAGGTGGAGCATTGTGACCCATGAGCCTCTTGTTTATTTATTATTAACCTGGGTAGAAAAATTGTTTTTTTAAACAATCTATTTTACTTTCAATAAATGATCATGAAGAACCCTACCCTAATTCCAGAACTACTGACCCTGGGGCCATGAATATTCAAAATTCAGACCTAGGGGACAGGGATCATGAAATTAACAAATTTTGTACCCTTTTACCAATTGATGCTATTTATCCAAATAGATTGAAATTGGTATAGTGGTTCAAGATGTGGTGGCAAATAAAAACATAGGTAATCAGAGATTACAGAGCTCACCTCAACGAATGTTGCCTTTAAGTAAGGCAAAGTCACACAATTACCCAACAAAAAGTGTACATCCAAAAATGCAACATTTATGAAATTTTGATCTGATACTTTGAAATAGACCTATATAAAAACTTCAATCTAGTTCTTCATCACAAAAATGTGATCAAATCCAGCATCTGAAGCAAGTTTAAGAGTTTTCATCCCTTGATGCATCATTTGGGCAAGTTTGGTTTATTTAAGCCTTATAGTTTCTTGGTGATAGACCTGCACCCATAACTTTTTACCAGGTCCATTATGTGGAAAATGTATGTCGAATTCAGCATCCGGAGCAAGTCCATTAGTATGCATCCTAAGATGTATCATCCATGCGAGTTTGCACAATATAGGGCTAATAGTTAATTAGAAATGAAACCTGCTTAAAAATTTAATCTTCTCATTCATCCAGAAAAAAATGTAGTTCAGATTCAGCATCTGAAGCCAGCCTGGTAGAATGCAACCTTATAGATGTATCATCCATGCAAGTTTGGTCATTAAAGAGCTCATAGTTACTTGGAAATGAATCCTGGATCAAAAACTTTAACCTGTTCACTCATCCAGAAAATGTAGGTCAGATTCAGCATCCGAAGCAAGTCTGGTAGTTTGTATCCTAAGATGTATCATCCATGCAAGTTTAGCCATTATAGGCTCATTGTAACTTGGAAATGAATCCTGCCCCAAAAACTTTAACCTGTTCACTCATCCAGAAAATGTAGGTCAGATTCAGCATCCGAAGCAAGTCTGGTAGTATGCATCCTAAGATGTACCATCCATGCAAGTTTGGTCAACATAGGGCTTATAGTTACTTGGAAATGAGACCTGCACCAAAAACATTAACCTGTTCACTCAACCAGAAAATGTAGGTCAGATTCAGCATCTGAAGCAATTCTGGTAGTGCACATCCATAGATGTATCATCCATGCAAGTTTGGTCAACATAGGGCTTATATATAGT